AGAAGATAACCACAACTGCACGGCTGGCAAGATGCTGATTGGTTGTAATCTTTGCAACACTTGTGTTAAAAGGGTATAAAAGAAGTTGGTTTGAGAATAAAGTTGTCTCATTCTGCATCCCAGACTGAGTCCATTCTTTCGCAAGGTGCAACATATTTACCCATTTTTCTTTACAGATGTAAAACAAAGGTGTATCTAGACAACCTTCCCACAACAAGTGTTGTCATTGTTTTCCACAATGAGGCTTGGAGCACGCTTCTGCGAACTGTTCATAGTGTGATAAACCGGTCGCCGCGACACATGCTGGAAGAAATCGTACTCGTAGATGATGCCAGTGAAAGAGGTAATGATAATGTGGAAATCTTACAGATATTCTAGCTAGTTGCTCTTTTAACTTTAAAAATTGAGTCCGACTTTCTGTGGATTTAGCTTTAGCTTTTTTCTTTGATTTAGTTTTGCCAGAAAAGGGGGTAGTGAACGGTGCTTTTCCTGGCACTGAGATGGATCATTCTGTACTGCAAGCTAATGAAAGCTTTATCTATTAACATTGTAGTTGACAGTGCTGAGTTTGTGGTATTTACTGTTTTTTAATAGGCTTGTCCTATTACTGCCTTCATGTTTTACATTTGTCATTTCAGCATATTCCTAAAACCTGAGAGGCATTTAAACCTTGAATCACTTGATTAAATAATAGTAAAGGCAATTTTATTCCTAAACAAAACTAAGAACAGTCCTAGCTTACTCCCTCACTACTGTCAAACTTAGAGTTCAGAAGTATTAATTTTGATTATTCAGTCTATAGGAAGTTGAAATTCAGTTCTCCAGATAAGGAATTCTATTCTTTTAATTATTACTCTGAATGAAAATTCCATGCTACCTAATGAAAGTTTTAATATGCAGTGAAATTAATGGAGAGGGAAAAAAAAGCCTTGAAGCTGATTTATTCAAAATAAAATAACTTTATTTGAACTTTACTTCTTCGCGATATAGCGGCAAAAAGTAGAAATCTAGATAGATGATATTTATATTAATAATTGATACTGCGTTCTTCACCTTAAGCCTTGATTAATCTTCCCGAGTACTAATGTTTATGAAGTATATCTGATAAATTTTGGTTTTCCTTGCTTTTGTATGTGGGAACACAAGGGCATATGTTTTGTGTATTTATTTTTAATCTTAAGTGTCACAGTACATTAAAAGTTTTCCTATAGTACTGTTAGATGCCACTTGATATAAGTCCTGGAAACTGCAGTTTGAAGTGTTTCAGAACAATACATCTGTGTCAGCAGAAATTTCTGTTCTTTAGCCGCAAAAGGCTTTAGCGCCTAGCATGCTGATGTGTCAGCTTGAGTTTTCTAATAGCAAAGTTGTAAAGCTTATGTTCTGTTCCTTAGATTAATTGGACTGTTGGAGAAAGATGGGTGACTCTTCTGTGTCTGAATAATCATTTAAGTAGTGTTAGGGTGCACCAGTTAAAAATGTTAACAAGGGTTTTAACAATGCGTGGTTGAAGTGCTTTTGCAGTCTATTCCTGGTCTTTCTATCTGAAGTGATGTAACGTATGAGTGGAGAGTGAGGGAGAGAAGAAAAATATATATATTTCTAGGCTGAATGACACTAGCATTTTAGAATGATTTTGTTTGTTATTGAATCTCCTCTGATCTTGATTTCAGATTCCATCGTTGCATTTTAAAGATTTTGAACAGTATTTTCTGTTGTACTTGCGGCTATTCTCAACAGTCACTGAAATTTTTCTGCAACAACGTACTAAGTTTTCAGCAAATCACTTAATCAAAACTGAAGGATCTGATGCCTGGAAACAAAAAGATTTTACTATATGCTATTTAAGTATTCTGTTTGTATTTAGCTAGAACAACAGACATTTTTTAGAAAATGTTCAGCCTGAATAGTATATTTTGAGTTCTAGCATCAGACTCAATTAAATTGGGATAAAGTAAGCATTCAGTCTCCCTGCAGCACACTTTGTACCAGCCGGTGTCACACTTTTAGCAAAATGAATTTACGTAATATCACACAGTTGTTTACACTGGAAATAAAAGTTTTTGAGAAACAAGACCCCTGTGATGCTTGCTTCTCTAGTTACTAATCAGAATTGGATTCTTGTTTGTTTTTAAGTATTGGTTTTCACATATTTTTCAAGAAGGTTAACAGAAGAAATCTGTTAGAAGTATTTGGTACTTAGCCTAGGTCAATATTGGGTGGCCAAGTGTAGACAGATTGCATCAGGAAAAAATACTCACTGAAGTTTTACAGAAGCATTTCAAAGCAATGCCTCTAAAATTACATTTCTGCAAATGATGTCATTAAAGTTCGTATTTTCATAAAATTCATAATATTGTAATTGAATGCTTATTTAGCGAAAACTTGTGTCGTATTGTATAATAAAAAATTTGCGTTTTAACTTTTTCTGTTCCCAGAATATATATAAACGAAACTCAGAAGAATTGACTGATTTTTTTTTTCAATTTGTACACTAGTTTGACTATAATTGAATATATTCGCTTTTGTGTCATCTAGGCTTTCTTAGTTGCTGCAAAAACTACTCTTTAAACTGTCCATGATGTTCTCTTATTTTACTGAGAAGTTGTGGGGAAATTTATTTATTTTTTTTTTATGTGATGCATTTAGCATGCCTTTCTGCAATGTAACTAAAATTATTTTCATGTTAGCTCTTGATTTGCCACAGTTACATTGCTGGAGTCTTTCACACATCCTCTTGGCAGAACTTTATTGTTTTTTTTAATAGAATTACTCATCCCAGGAACACCATTCATTACATTCATTCATTTTTAAGTGGTTAGAAATATGTTAAAAGGTTGTCAGTGCTTGAAATATGCAGTACAACATGTTGATTTACTTGACTTGTTGCCTGGATCAGGAGGTGGCTAGCAGAGCAAGGGATGCTTCACTGCTGTAGTCTTTTCGTGCATATCATGAAAGTCGTAAAGATTAAAAATGTATATACTAGTTCTTTTAAGTTAGTAACTTTGTAAGATGTGATAGTATTTGCCACCGAATTTTTCAGCACTATGATCTCTGTGCACATCCCCGAAAGGCCTGCAAAATGTTGACATGTACAGATGAAATAGTTTACACTGCTAAACACTTATTTACTGAATCCTCCCTAATTATGTACATTTATAATCTCCACTAATATGTGTTTGCTTTGAGTTTCTCTAGAGACAAATATCTATTTAAGATTAATCCAACTTTTAAGCCCTTAGTACAATTGAGCTTTTAAGATATATCAAAACTAATTTCTGTGGGGTTTAGAGACTATCCAATAATGTATTAAAAAAAAGCAGGGAGGAGGAGAATTAGAGCTTGTTCAACCAGAGCAATGGTAGGGAATGGTAATTGCTCTCAGATCAACTCTGCCTCTCAAGATTTGCAATACAGCCACTAAGGATTCATGCCGTGATTTTCTTTTATTTTTTCTCTCCCTTTCCTCTAGCTACACTCTTGCTCGTGCGTGAAATAATGCCTTACAGGGAATCCTCCCAAAGACCTTGTGCTGTTGTAACACGACTCTCATGTGCTTTTGGCATATCAACTAATATATTTTGTAGCTGTGTTTATAAAAGAAATATTTGTTTAGCCTATATTATTACAGATTTGGAATCTGCAAGTTATTGCTGACGACTTTGTTTCTGTGACTGTCAACTGTGTTCTCACTCTGTTTTATCTTCCTTTGATATCATCCATCATTAGGTTTTTTTTTATGATGAATGAAGACTGTGTCCGTAAATGGGAAACCTGTTAATTTGGCAGCTACTTACAAATGATTTTGTGTCCCTAGGCAAATGGAAGTCAGTTAAAGCTGTGGCATTTTGACTAATTTGCTCCTTGAATAAGCTGGCTCATTCATGATTCAGATGATCACTTAGCTATAGCAGATTTTGCATTTATTTTTGTTTGTAAGTGTTAACGCAATTAATTAATAAAAAAAACTTAGACAAAAAAATGTTAAGCAGAATTTAAAACTGAATTTGGTTGTGTTTTAAACTTTGCTTGCAAATAAATTATCTGTAAGATGCAGAACTGTAGGAAAAGATTAATTATCGGTGCTAGTCAGCTCATTTTCTCTTATTTTCTTGTTAGATAGGTGTATACACAAGGAAATTCAAGAATCAGTTTTTGAATCATTTCTTGAAAGTAAGGGGTGTATCTACCCCACAACAAAAATTTGCCTATCCCACCTGACTTTGGCTTAAATGTTCTACTGTGTTTTGCTGCTTCCAATAATGAAGAGGAGGGGGAACTTCTTGCTCTACTGACTGAAATCCACGTAGATATGGAAGGGCATAATATGAGGTGGAGTAAGCAGTAATGAAAAGTAACTTAGAAGGTAATAGAAAAGAGGTATGGAATTATTTCAATATGGAAGTACTGCAAAATGAAAATACTACAAGTTGCATAATCAAAAAAATGCAGTTTTATGTAATTGATGGTTTCTATGTATCAATCATTTCCTGCAGACTTCTTGAAGAGACCACTAGAAAGTTATGTGAAAAAATTAAAAGTCCCTGTTCATGTGATTCGAATGGAACAGCGTTCTGGACTGATTAGAGCCAGATTAAAGGGGGCTGCTGCTTCTAAAGGCCAAGTCATCACCTTCTTAGATGCTCATTGTGAATGTACAGTAGGCTGGCTTGAACCTCTGCTGGCAAGGATCAAAGCTGACAGGTATTTTTTTCATCTATTGGTGTATGCTATTATTTGCAGATTAGTAAGAAATGGTCTAAATATTACCATATAACCTATAAGCAATTCTACCTTTCAAATGACTGGATTAATACCATATTTTCTATTAGTGTTACAGTAAAGCAGTAATTGAGCACAACTTTTTAAAAAGTAAAACTGAGTACAAATTGGAACTTTTATTAGGATCTATGTGATAATGTATTAAATATCAGGATATCTCAGCATGTATTTGAGACCAGTGGTATTTGAACTCTTCTGTCTACAGCCTAAACCACTCCTCCATGAATTTGGGAACATATAACTAGAAGAAGCGATCACAATCTCTCATAAAACCAACATTAGGCAAGACCTGTCAGATTTACTGGCTTTAGGTACTCACTGTGATTCCCTTATTGCATGATATATTTGGGTTGTAGATTACCTGCGAATGAATAGAATTTCTGTGGCATGACATGGATTCCTGGAATCACAGTGATTGCATCCACAATAGTGTGATAGAAATGGTACTGAAGAAAAAAACAAAAGTGAGAGAACCGGTCTGCTTTATAAAACATTCATGCATCTGCGTAGTAATTCTGCTGTTGCACACTGTTCTGTTAGCGAACAGACTAAACTAGACATTTATTTAAGTACTGTAATGCAGTACTTAAATAAAGTCTTGGTTTTGGTCTTACGATTATTAATATAAGTCACTTTTTAAAATTTATAATTACAGTATGTAACATCACATAATGCAAAGAAGCAAGTAATTGTTCAGAACAGTGTTAAACATTATACTAAGCTTCAAGTTATCATCTATATACATTTTTGTGAGACTATCATATTTAAATTATTCTTCTGACTTGTTCAAAATAGGTCCTTTTAATTTAATTGCAACCCTTGTATCTTTTTATGTATTTTTTTCAAGTGAGGAAGCCTGGTAGAGGACAGTGGTTATTTAAGTGTTTCTAAGATGATTAAGACACGTAATAAGAAATATGAATTCTAATAATGTCAGAACAATGGTTGAAAAAGTTAAGCGGCAATTAAAGCAATTAATTAAAGCAACAATTATCACTGCTTAGGCCTGATGGGAAACCAGAATACTTCCTCAAAGTAAATGATTGAATTTTCATTTTAAAACAGGTAAAATACTTTGACTGTGCAACTAAAAACCAAAAAATAGTATTGAGAAAGCTCTGATTTTTTTCCCATCTGTATGTTATTAAAATGCAAATAATAATATTGACAAAATTGAGTCAGAAACATGTTTTTTTCCTTTAGATGAATTAATTCTAACTAGCAAGACAAAATTTAAATATATTTGATGGTAAACATTTTTGAGTACTGTATTGTTAAGTGTAGTGATCTTAAAGTATAAATAAAATGGGTATGTTAAATTGAAACAAATTACTTTTCTGACATTCTGACTAACAGTTTGATGCTTTCCTCTCTGCAGGAGAACAGTAGTGTGTCCCATCATTGATGTAATTAGTGATGACACCTTTGAATATATGGCAGGTTCTGATATGACCTATGGTGGATTCAATTGGAAGCTGAATTTTCGTTGGTATCCTGTTCCTCAGAGAGAGATGGATCGACGGAAAGGAGATCGAACACTTCCTGTTAGGTAATGAGAAATGACAAATTGATAGAAGTATTGTCTGATGTTTAGTCATATCCTCTCTAGGCTAATCTTGTATACGAGCAATTAATGAGCTGTGTCATGTTGTCATATTGGTCTGTTTCAAGGACCAGTGTGTGAAATTTTTCAGCATAGATGTCTTGTTGATAAATTCCAATAGGCATAACATGAAGCATAAGTATAAAGCATAATAGTGAAAATCATAGGTGACTTCATGGTATGTCGTAATTTCTTCAAGAATAGTTGCTAGAAATATAAATATCCTGCAATAAATTGTTTTATTTATGTGATTTACCAACATTGGAGGCTGAAGTAGTTTTTTTTTTTTTTTTCTCTCTACCTCACTCTCTATTTGTGGAATAAACCATTTCGTCAGTATAACAGTGAAATATATTTAAACAAAATAAATTTTCATAGTGACTGATATTTGACTTATTTTCTGTTTTTCCATTTGTTTGTTTGTTTTTTGTTTGTTTTGTGTTTTTTTTGTCTTCAGGACTCCTACAATGGCAGGAGGTCTTTTTTCAATAGACAGAGATTACTTTCAGGAGATTGGAACATATGATGCTGGAATGGATATTTGGGGAGGAGAAAACTTAGAAATTTCCTTCAGGGTAAGTAAAAATTCCTCTCTGTTCAGAGTTTTAGTGTTCATGATAGTACAACATAAGTTCTATACAGTAGGAGCTTAACGACAATGATGGATTCTTCTCTTCACAGTTCAGAGTTCAGTTCATGTTATGTTGTTCTAATGGACATATTAAATGACTTTTTTTAAATGTGTGAAATTTCTCTGAAGGTGTTTGATTTGAAAAGTTCGAGAGCATAATATAAGGATTATCTCATCAGTGTGTACTCTAGGCTGTTATGTGTTAGCTCAGCCACAAAACAACAAAAATAGAGAATTTCTAACTTAATGATTACGCATTTTTAATTTGACCTAATTTAATTTTTAATTTTGGACCTAACCTGTTCTCACTAGTTTCTGCCGAATAGCACTATTTCCTTTTGCTTTACTTACTGACTCAGAGTATATAGGTGGATACTTTTAAAGTAGTTTAGTTTCTGAATCTGACATTTCTAGTGGTTCAAGAAAAAATGGAAATGCTTTGAGAAACTTTTTCTTGGAAAGTGCATGTTTTTTTCAGTTGAAGAATTTATTAAGAAGGGCCTTTGTGGCCAGATTACCATCTGTTGCTTCCTTGTGGATCATGTGAGCCTTTTCCCTTCTTTCACTGTCAGCACTCCTGGTGCTCTGCAGTAGTATCTTGTTGAGGCATCTTTTTTGAGGCCTCACATACCCTCATGCTACCCTAGCTCTAGCTTGAGAGCATCCTATCTGTCAAGCAGGAAACAGACTTGCTTTTCTCTTCCATGCCGTATATATTTGTGCTGGACTTTAATGTTGTTTATACTAATTGAAGAAGGGCAAACATCAAATATAGCACTTGCAATATCTGTTTTATCATTTTTAGATTTGGCAGTGTGGTGGCACTTTGGAAATTGTAACTTGTTCACATGTTGGGCATGTCTTCAGAAAAGCAACACCATACACTTTTCCTGGAGGTACAGGGCAGATAATCAACAAAAATAACAGGAGGCTTGCAGAAGTCTGGATGGATGAATTCAAAAACTTTTTCTACATTATTTCCCCAGGTAAGCAGATCTTTGGTTATGAAAAATACCAATAAGAATTAAAAATTAAAGTTCTATTGGACTTCAATACTTAAACAAAAATGATACTGTTTTGAAGAATTCAAGTGTTCTGAAAAGGCTCAGTTGGGCAAGAGAGGAAGCCAGAGAAGTGCTAAAATATTACTACTCTACAGATCATGTGCTGCTGCTTTTTTAGGGGAGTGGGGGTGAGAGGGGAGCATGATGAGAGAGAACAAACATCCTGTCTAAAAACTTGAAAGATTGTTAGAGACATTCAACTTTAAATATTGTGGTTTTATACGCCACGTATGCTTATTCAAATAAGTATCTTGAAACAAGTATTTCTCTGTGACTTGCTTATTAATACAGATTAATAGTATTTATAGTATTTAGATTAATAGTGAAATTTAAAAGTTGTAATATGGTGCAGTGTTAATCTGAAAAAAAATCAATAAAATCTTCTGTATAGGTTTTAAGAGCATTTTTGAGAACAAGTGACCACACTACTTTATCCTTTTCTTTTTCCTCAATAGAATATGCCGTTCAAATTAAGACAGCATAGAATTTTTAAAATAAGTTCGTGGTACTAAGAATCACAGCCGTCTAGGTGAAGTCAAAAGCTAGTAGGTTATGCTTACTGCCATGTCTTTTTATTAGTGTAGCATTATCAGATTAAATATACCATGCATTTTGTGCATACACACACACACATATATATATTTATATATATATAAAAGAAACTGGGAGCACAGAATCACAGAGTCGTTGAGGTTGGAAGGGACCTCTAGAGATCACCTAGTCCAACCCCTGTGCTCAAGCAGTGGTACCTAGAGCATGTGGCACAGAGTCACATCCAGGCAGATTTTGAATTATCTCCAAAGAAGGAAATTGCACAACCTCTCTGGGCAGCCTGTTCCAGGACTCTGTCACTCTCACAGTAAAGAAGTTCTTTCTCATATGCAGATAAAACTTCCTGTGTTTTAATTTGTACCCATTACCCCTTGTTCTGTTGCTGGCCACCACTGAGAAGAGTTTGGCCCCATTCTCTTTACGTCTTCCCCTCCGGTGTTTGTATATATTGATCGGTCTTCTCCAGGCTAAACAGGCCCAATTCACTTAGTATTTCCTCGTAAGATAGATGCTAACCATAAAAGTAAGTTAACTTTTAAAAGTCAAAATCAGTGAAAACTGTGATAAGGCTCTACTATTTTGTATATCATATTTATAGATCTTCTATTTAATGTGGAGGCCATAAGCTATGAAAGCGGTTACTCTTCTGACTTCGTACATAGTTGTTCTGATGATGTGGGTGGGTGAGTGTGTTTTTTGTTGTTGTTTTTTGTTTGTAGCTTTGTAATATTGTGAACTATACATGCAGTCTCCTGCTAGGGGAAAAAAGAGTGGAAGATTATTATTATATTGTAATAATGAATATATATGAAATATGGGTTATATATATAATAGGATAGAAATGCTTTCTTGTCATGCTTCTCTTAGCATTTGTGCCTACTGGCAGGCGCACCTCTTATTTGTGTTTTCAGGTCCATATTGACACTGTACTGAAGTATGATATTAGATATTCCAAGAGTATCAAGAATCGTCCATAATACCTGGATAAGTTAGGTTATATTGAAATTAGTTTAGTGCCTAGAGCTGTGAAAAGTAGTGCTGTAATTCCTGTAGTATATAACAATATCTATGGTTTCAGAGAATTAACTTACAAATTATACTGATGCTGTCATTGCTACTCATGCTTTCCCTTATTTTTTTTTACTGCACTTCTCTAGTGTACAAGCCGAAAACTAGCAAGCGTTAACTAGCAAGGATTACTATCTTGGGACCTCTTAAGTGGAATTTCACAACCCCCTTGCCATTGCTGTTTTGTTACCTCCTGTGTTACCAGAGTTATGCAGACCCATGATGCACCTATAGACAGAAACTACATTACTGTATTTCATGAAGGCTTTTTGGGCTCATGTTTTAAGGGAACTCGGTGCAGTTCTGCCACATAAAAATGAAAATGTCTAGTACTTGCAGAATGATCTTTTAGTCTACCAGCAGGTTACTACAGTATATAGCCTGCAAAACTCTTAACTGCCGATGCAATGTGTACTTTCATTATTACTGTGACAACATGTCACTGTGTCACAGCCTCATGCAAGGAAAAAGGTGAGAATTTGAGTGGATGCTGGTTTGTGAGCTTGGGTGCAGATGAACAGGAAAATTGGGCAATTTGGTGTGCACCTACGTTTTTGTCGGTTGGGTGAGAAGTTAGGTATCTCTTGTTGGTAGGAAAATGCAGTGTTGGAAGAGTTAATATTACTGACAGAAATCATCAAGCCTAACTAACAGATATTTTTTGTTCTTTATATAGATTTTCTTGGGCTCTTCTAAGATAGTCAGTCACAAAGGGATTGGTCTAGGAAAGCAAATCTGAGATTCACAGATAGGTTTCCCAGTTTGTTTAATTGATGTTGTCTCAGGAGGGCAGAGGGGATTTACTTTTTTGAATAGCAGGAATTTGAGAAACTTTACTATCGACACAGTGCAGTCAAATGAAAAGCTCTTCTAAAATGTATTTGTGTCTTTCTTTAAGTACAGATTAGTAGGAACTGTTGTGTGTTTCTTGCCAGGCTTTCATGATTTTTAATAGTCGTCTTTCTGCTTAGAAGCAGATTTCTGCTTAGGTACAGTTGGGAGGTGGACAGGAAAATGTTGCAACTGCTGCTGGCCCAAATCAAACCTGTCTCGCTGCATGCAGGAGCTGTTCTCTTTGACAGTAATGGCACTTCTTATAGTCTTTCCTCACTAGGCTCCAGTTTTCCTTAGGATCATGAGTTACAACAGGGTTTGACTTGATGGTTTCACTTTTTCTTGCATGACTTTCCCAGACCATTTTCTACTAGCTCTTCAGTAAATGCATTTGGGACATTTGCAAGTGATTCTTAGTTCCTGTGAGTTTCAGAGACTCTGGCAATTCTTTGTTTGCAACTCCTACTGCTGTCCTATTGCCTAAAATACTAGGACAGAAGTGTGTATGGTAAAGCTTCATGAGCTGGTGTTACCAGTCCAACAACTTGTTGCAAAGAGGGTGCCTTGCTTTTCGTGTCTGGTCATACAGCCCTCATATAGTTCACCCATGTAAACTAATTTGCCTTGTTAAACTCCCAAGTTTTTTTTTTTTTTTTTTTCCCTGCGTGCTGGTTAAGTTAGCACCTGTGTCAGCACGTAAGAAGCAGTAGGCGTGTGAAGATGAGCAAGGGAAAATGCCTTCAGCAGTGGCAACATCAATAAACCATTAGGTTGGAGTCTCACAACTACCTCAGCTCAGTAGCTGACCTGACCACAGTTTACTTGTTAGTGATCAAACTGGTAGTTCGTCATGTTTTTGGACTTCCTTAACCTAAAGTTTGATATAGTTTCAGATTGGGTGGTTTGCTTATGCCGTATGTGAGTCTGTTTTTGCCCTCCTACATGCAGTCCCCTGCTCATATTGTTGCTGGTCAGCAACCTGTTACCCACTTCCCTGTTGGTTAAGTGAAAGGCATCTTAATTAGTATAAAGTGTAAAATACTCCTCATTCCATAATTGGTATGGAAATAAATTCTGGTGCTGACAAAGACTTTGACCCAGAAGGTATCTTTCATTGTATAGGGAATAACTGAACAGATAGAAATCCTGAAAACCTAACATTGTAGAATTATCTAAACAAGAACCATCTAGACATGTGTAAATGTGTTTTCATCAAAATTGGATCAGTAGGGGTGGTTTCTAATTGCTCCATATGCTTATCTTTGGCCAAGCGTGGCAAGTGTAGGTTCATAACATACAGACTGCAGTTGGCTAAGGCCTTTGATTTTGGTGATGACAGTGGAGAAGTTAGTATTCCCTATGAGCATTAATCAGAAATGAAAATACATAGTTATTGGAAGCAGGTTTAAATGATTATTGCTTGTTCAGTTTCATAATAATAAGTCATTCATTTTAACAGAAGATTAGCTTGGGATGGAACACTTTGCATGCTTTGAAAATGACTGAGTGATTATATAATCAGGATGAAAACATCATGTTTCTAATTCTTTGAATCAGTTTAGCATAAATGTATTGCCACACACTGAACTTGTCAGACATCTTCGAGATGGTAGAGCTGTTGCAACACAGCTGCTGGGACGCTTAAATATTCATAAGATGGCAAAGAAAATTAAGCTGAAGAAGGCTTATTCTACCCATAGAAATCGTTATGTATATACGTGTAGGCAGTTATGGAAAGGAGTGTGGAGGAGTTACTACTTTTGAAATTGTCTTGTAAATCTTTCCCTTTCTTTCCCATTCCCACTCCCATTTAAGAGTGGAATTAACTCTTAAAAAAATAAATATGTTTATCAGAAAATACTGATGCTGTCGAATAGCTTCTAAGCATATGTTCCATATGTTCAGTAAGACCAACATTGTAAGAATTCTTGTTTGGGTGAGCTGTGTGGATTTGTCAAAAACTTTGATTACTACTTTTTGGTGAAAATGCAAGTATAGCAAAGCTCTGGTTGAGTAGTGAAGACATTACCAAACAAGGCAATCTGGTACTGCATACTAAATTTCTTTTTCAAGAGCAGTGACATTGTTGACAAGTGCTGAAATGAACTTTACATTTGTAGAAGAGAATGTTGAATGTCTGTCTGGATAATTGGCTATATTCCTTTGCAATATGGCTATTTCTTTTTGTGTTGTTTGAATACATCTTTAACCATGTTTTTGAAAAGAGCATGCACAGCATACCACAATCTTTGGGACAGATGAAATCACCAGGAAGGTCCAGGCTATTACCTTTCCAGTATTTTTTTCTGGGAAAAACTTTTATTGCATGGTCCAGTGGAGACAGTAGTAGCATGTACTGTTTAGGTACTATTTCTGCTATTTTTATAAAGCAAAACCAAGTATTTGGAAGAATAACCAACAGAGATGATTACTTTCCTCATGATATGCCAAATTGCTTAGTCTGGCATGCTTGTCTCCATAGAGGAAAATTTGATGTAATTCTGAATTTGCAGCTGAGCCTTTAGAAACAAGTTCAAAAACACTAGAAACCATACATAAGCCTCTTCAATAGATTCATTTGCTTACCTTGTTACAGAACACCACTATGGGAACTATGCCATTTCTCGTATCCAGTCCATCTGTTACCTGATGCTGACTGTAGTCTATGTGCCAGTATGTTGTCTGATTCAAACCTAACTTTAGAGAAGAATCTTCCCATTCTTTCCAGCTAAAAATGGTTCAGTAGGGCATAATGCACATCTTTTAATTCCAGATAATGGAGGGAAAACCAAATGGCACTGTTTTCTGCACGTGGTGGCATTTAAAACTACTTTAATCAATAGCACAGTTGTATGCTATTACATACTACTTTGCTTTTAATTCCTTATATCTGTGCCTTTAATTCTTACTGTCACATGGCAACCTTAAATGTTTTTCCTAAGATCAGTGTAGCAAGTTGTTAAAGAATGAGGTTTGTATGTTGTAAGGTTAGACATAATGTGGTAACTGTTTATCAACTACATTTTCCTGAACAAAGGAGGAAGAGTTTCAGCTATGGTTTGTTCAGCAAAGAAGCCTTTTTCTTTCTCTTGAGAGCATGTTCCTTTTGATGTAGAGCAAACATAGACATTGGTCAAGTAGAGTAGTTTTTTATGTCTAGAAAACCCAGGCTGATGTTTGTCAGAGCTCCTTCTTAAGAGAGATCTTTATAATAATAATAAAAAAATGTTCTAGAATACTGAAGATTTTACTGGTAATTATGGATGTTTAGCTGAAGTTATATGGCTATCCAACTGTTCTAATTGAGTAGCAATACACCATCTGCTGGTAGATTTATGTAATAACACAGTAGCGCAACTTCAAATTGTATCAAGCTCAACTGCAAAAGGTGACACAATTTAGAGGTAATTTACAGCTTAAGCACAGGGATTTCTGTGTAACTTGGGGTCTTCAAGTACAAGACTTCCATGTTCTGAACAGCTCAAGTGGCCAGTATAGCATATTTGTGGGCTGCAGAGTGGACTTAAAATTGGTACATGACTGAAGTTTCCTTTTTTGTTGCTTTGGTAGTGTATTATTTAAGACCTGTGTTATTTAGCGTAAGAATATGGAAATAGATAATAATAATACGGAAAGTGGTGAATGTGACATCAGAAAACTAGACGTTACTTTACCTCTATTGAAATTATTGCAATATTAATAGCAATGCTTAATTCTGTTTTATAAATACCCACTGATCATGCACACCTTCTTCATCCCATTTGCAAATGGGATTTATACAGCTTAATGTGCAGAATAAAGAACAACCATGATAGTGGGGTGGGAGGATGCAAGAATGGCATATTTTGATAAACAAAGAGCAAATGAGGGGGGAAAAAAGTAGGCAAAACACCACAGAAATATGATTAGTGCTAATGGTGAAAACATTTCTTGCAAATGCTGTAATTATGTTGGAAAAATACTGAATTATTAAAGGATTAGTTCCCTGTGTTAGTTTTTGCTTGTTTCTTTATGCAGTTAGATGGATGAGGAAGTCTGGTAAGTGGTTCCTGATTCAGAATTCGATTAAAATTGAGTTTTCCTCCTTCCGCAGAAGGAAGCTGCTATGTTACACTGCATAGGTATCTGCATTCTATCCACACTTGTCTTTGGGGATAGAATGGGAGTAGTGAAAACATGGTTTCACCTTTTTTCATCTCTTAACTTAGTAGGTGATTGCATTCAAATTTTTCCACCAAACAAAGGTAAGATGTTACTATATATAGGATAGATGTAGTTGCTCTGCCTTTTAAAATAACTGTCTGAAAAATTTGTGGATAGTGATTGTCCTTCATGATAATATAAATGGCATGATACTATATTGGAAGAAATTTTTTAGTGTAGAAATGAGTTGTTCATTTGAGAGGATGTATTTGATGCAGGCAGTGCATTATACTGATGTGCTAAATGGAGTCATAGATAAAATTCATTAACAACCATTAAATAAGACTCTCTTTTTGGTCTCTACAGGAGTTACCAAAGTTGATTACGGGGACATATCATCTCGACTTGGACTAAGACGTAAGCTCCACTGCAAGCCTTTCTCCTGGTATCTGGAGAATGTTTATCCTGATTCCCAAATTCCACGGCATTACTTTTCTCTGGGGGAGGTAAGAGTTCCCCACACACGCTTATCTACCATATCTAAAATATATTGCAGAGTGAGTTTAGATTCTGAGCTGAGCAGCATGAACCTGCGACCTCTAACAAAGTTCAAATATCTTAGGCATTGTTGTCAATTGTAAAATGATAGATAAGGGGCAGGTAGTGGGGCTGATATTCATGCCTGTTTATTATACAGAAATATAGTAGTTAAGGCTCTAATTCAGGTAGTGAGGAAACTAAACTTAGTTATCCCTGATATTGAAAGGAATTAAAACCTCAGTGCCCAAAAGTACTTTAAAACTTCTGACAGTCTTGGAACTTCCAAGATTGGATACAGAAGAAAGCAAAGAAAGGAACATGATTCTATAGTATGTTGGCTTTAGCATTTGTCTGGGGGAGGGATTCTTGGGTAGGGGCTACCTCATGGTAATAAGTACTCTTTATATAATTTGCATTTTTTTTGAACAGCCTATCATTATAGAGCAGAGAGAACTGGTGACAGTGTAGTTTGATATGGAGCTAATCCTTTTCTAAAAATAACCTTTTGTGATGTGCTCTTTCACTTCCAGATAAGAAATGTAGAGACAAATCAATGTCTGGATAACATGGCAAGAAAAGAAAATGAAAAAGTTGGAATATTCAATTGCCATGGAATGGGTGGAAATCAGGTGATTTTTTTTTTTGTAACTTTTTTGGTATGTTTTAGTATATTTTTGTAAAGATTTGAATTGTTTAGAAAAATACTTCTTATCAGGACACTGTTTTAATTCTTTCAGTAGTTATCTCCTAATCTGTAAAGTTTAGGAAAACCCTCACTGAAGAATGGAACGGTAGGAGGGAATGCACAAGAAGGCTGGCTGGTATTTTGTTACTGGTAGGTTTGAAGCCTTATTGCAACAGCTAGATCCGCTTTAAAGTCAAAAATGAAATAAAGGGGAGTAGACTGATGAAAGTTAGGATTTGTTTCTTATAGGTTTTCTATAACCATATTCTGTTAAGACTTGCAAATTGGTATCCTTTAAAAACACGCTTGCATCTGAAATACTGTTCTTAGCATATGTTATTTTTTGTGAATGTCAACTTAAGAATTTATTTTGTCTGATTTTCAATTTTATTTTATTAAAAATTATTGATCAACTCCTTACCAGTATACAAAGATAACCAGTTTTTGGGATCCTTTGCTCCTATGCAGGAAAGAGTCTGCAACTTGACAGTGTCAATCTTTTTCTGAAGAACTCTTTCATATACTGTTTATATTTCTTCCCTTAAAATGCATGGAGGAAGGGAAGTAGTATGGATAGTAATGAAATAATGTTCAAAAGTCCCCCTCATACCTCAAAAGGAATCTCTTAGGCAAACTTTTTTTTTTTTTAACTCTCCAGTTCCACTTCTTTTTGTGTTTAGGTCTTCTCATATACTGCCAGCAAAGAAATTCGAACAGATGATTTATGTTTAGATGTCTCCAAACTTAATGGCCCAGTAACAATGCTCAAGTGCCACCATCTAAAAGGAAATCAACTTTGGGAATATGATCTCGTGGTAAGTCTTTTGATGACTTGTAACATGAAATGAGACAACTTGTGTCTTTACAAGCCTACAGAACAGTCTCTTCCTTTGTGGAATCGCTATTTGAGAGAACAGGAAACAAAGTCAGAGTTATGTTCTGTCTGTCTTTATTCATGTGTAATTACTCAGTATAGATCTCTGATTTAATACCTGGTGAATTTCTGATAGTTCATAGAAATTAAAAAAAATATATAAATATATTTGCAAAATGCTTTCAGATCTTTAGATAAAAGAAAGTGTAGAGCTCATTTAGGGTGGGATCAGTGATAGAAAAATATTCTGAATACTTAAACTTTTTTTATTCGTGGACCAGTAAAAGATAATGCTAATGATCCTGGACTGATTTAAGCACATGGTGTCATCTGTTACAATATTAAAGGAAATATTATTTTAATTGAAAATTCAGTATCCCAAAATTATAAAGAGGTTTTGTATTTCTAATTTTCATGTTTAAGGCAGAGTTAATTAAAGCATCTTTATTTAATCCTACTTCCCTTGTACTTAATATTCAAAATCGTTTGGAAATTTGTATGTTAAGCTGCCAGATCAAATAAGCATTGCCAGATGATCCATTGATCATTAATTTTATCTAAAAGTTCTCAAAACTAATTACGTGATTGAATAATAGAGTAAGAATTTTGACTTTACAGCTCAGCTAACTTGAAAAAAGTGTCTCAAGCTAATTAATTTAAAATCAGTTAGTGTGGAAGTTAGTTGTAAGGCAATTCATAGAAGAAGATTCTTGCTATTATAAGCTTAATGATTGTTTAATAAAGGAGAGCATGTACATCATTTAGCTACCAAAAAGTCATTTCAGTCCTAAAAATATTTTGGTACTTAAATCAATAGGTTTATTACAGATTCCAATAATTGAGATGTTAATATAGCCTATAGTTTTTAAGACTGAAAAGAGGCATGAATGATTGATGCTTTTTTAGTTGGGCTGGCAACTAGTTTATGAGACACTGGATCGCTACTAGGATTTCTGCAGATTGCTTGCAACTGCTGATAGGAAATTAAAGAAAGCTGTTGAAGGCTTTCCAGGATAAAGAATTAGTTGAAATTCCTATATCCGAGTCTTGGTAATTGTTTATTCTTTCATAAGTTGTCTTACGTTTTAAGTGAGTAATATTACTAAATGCAGTGATTTGCCAAAGAACTTCTATCACTAATCTTTGAATGGATTATTTTTAATATGAGCAAAGCTAGCAAGAGTTATCAAACCCTGTACAATGCGTACAAAAATTTGCTTAGTTGGAAGAACCAAATAGTCTCTTTTACAATGGTTGCTACAACCAGAAATAAGATTAAAATAGGTCTTAAAATAATTCAGAACTTTACTTTTGTTGCTTCACTAGCCAGCTCCAGTTCTCCAATTGGAGAAATCTTAGCAAGAATTCCTGCCAACGTAGTTTCTTTTCATGGAAGTTTTTTCTGTAGTCAGGAGGAGTATGTAGAAAGCACCTTTTCCTTGATGTGTGCTAGGAAAAAGAGTCTCTAAGAGTGTTAGAATTGTTTGCTCTCATATCTTCCAATTCTCTAGTTTGTTCTCCAGCTGTTGTGCAACTGCAGGAGACTGAAGTATAGGGGGGTGGTTTTGATATTTTCTGATTTTATTTATTTTACCCTTTACTGCTGCCTGTGCACATATGGCCTACCTATTCTTCTGCCACTTTTCAATCAATTCAGTGTGTTGGCTGTGCTCTCTAAATGAGAGAAATACTAAGACTATCAATCAGTGCCATAGACTGGCTGGAGCACTTGTGAGTGGCAGGAAGTGCAACTTTCAAAGACCTCTTTTCTCAAAGGGTAGTGCCTGGTAGTGGTGTATTGCAGATGGCATAAGTATGATTAGTAGACACTATAAAAATGTATGTATTCTTAAATATCTGTATGTTTTTTTAAAAATATAGTCCTGTTTAATGTCAATTTTGGGCCCTCTGAAAAGGGGGGAGGAGAAAAAGCATATATTTAATACATATTAAATGTATTAGTTTACATCTGATGAAATCAAGTATTACTAATACGAATATTACTACTAATAATCAAAGGTTCAACAAGGGCATGTGCAGGGTTCTACACCCAGGGAGGAATAACCCCAGACACCTGTACAGATTAGGGGTGGACCTGCTGGAAAGCAGCTCCGCAGAGATGGATTTGGGAGTCCTGGTTAACAACAAGTTAACCATGAGGCAGAAATGTGCCCTTGTGGCCAAGAAGGCAATGGGATCCTGGCCTGCATAAGGATTGTTGCTTGCAGGTCGAGGGAGGCGATCCTCCCCCTCTATTCAGCTTGCATGAGGCCGCACCTGGAGTATTGTGTGCAGTTCTGGGCTCCCCAGTACAAGAGGCATGTGAAACTTCTATAGCAGAGAGCACCGAAGATGATAGAGAGACTGGAGCATCTGTCGTGTGAGGAAAGACTAAGGGAGCTAGGCCTCTTTAGCCTGGAGAAGAGAATATTGAGAATATTATCAATGTGTACAACTACCTCAGTGGAGAATGTAAAGAGAATGGGGCTGTTCTTGGTGGCTAGTGACAGGACAAGGGGTAATGGGGATAAATAAAAACACAGTAAATTTAATCTCCATGAGAGGAAGAACTTCTTTACTGTGAGGGTGACAGAGCTCTGGAACAGGCTGCCCAGAGAGGTTGTGGTGTCTCCTCCTTTGGAGATCTTCAAATCCCGCCTGGATGCAGCCCTGTGCCACATGCTCTAGGTGTCCCTGCTTGATGCTTCCAACCTCAGCCATTCTGAGAAAGCTGTATGCATACATTGCAGCAAATTTTAATTTCTGCCATTTCAAAGATCCCCAGCAGTATAGCGGTATTTAAAGAACTGTGTTTGAAGGTGGTCATTTCGAAGTTTGACTGTTTTTTCATAGGTTTTAATGTTTTAAAATATGCTTCTCATGTTGTGTATTAAGTGCTCTAGCTTAAGTCTAAGTCTAACTTCTGTTTTATCTATGGAAGAATGTTAATGTTCATTGGAAATGTTCTGTTGACTTTTGTAAAACTTGTTTCTTTTTATTTTCTCTTCAAGAAATTAACCCTGTTGCATGTGAACAGTAACCAATGCCTGGACAAAGCCACCGAAGAAGACAGCCAGGTACCCAGCATCAGAGACTGCAATGGCAGTCGCTCACAGCAGTGGCTACTTCGCAATGTCACCCTTCCAGAAATATTTTGAGAGGTTCTACAGAAAAGCAAGCATTGACTGGGCTATCTCGGCTAATGCTCTGGCTACACTGTTAAGTAGCAACAGACAAAAACTTCTGCCCTGCAGGATATACATAGTTCATGGCCTGTTAGAACCTGTAACTCGTGCAGCTTTTTGGTAGCTGTGAATCAGCCTTGCTGTAATAAGGAAGTGAAACTATCACACATAGTAGAGAAACTGCGCCTGCTGACGTTTACAAGATTGAGAGAGTCTCTTCCAGCAAATAACCTAGGGAACATTTGGATGATGGAAATATAGTCAATGAAATATTCTGGATGGAGAGACGCATATTGTTGTAGTTTGCTTGCACATCAGTAACCTCTGCTGAAAGTGCTATTGTAACGAAGACATTTCCAAGAATCTCTTTCCTGGTTAGTGGTCGTAACCAGCTTACTAAATACAGATCCACAAATAAATGAAGCAGAGAGCTGCAGACCATATTCAGCAACAAGAAATAAGAATTCTGTTTTTTTTTTTTTAAAAAAAAAGTAAACAGGGTTTAATGGAAACAAAATCAGAGCTATAAAAAGTACAATTTGTTATAGTGACATATCAAATTTATATGTAGATTTTATACCTCAGTGGGAGGAAATAACCAAATCAAAAGGCTTTTTTTTTATTGTGTGATAGTCCATGCTTTTTAATCCTAGTTGGTCTAAAATTATTTTGGACACAAACAAAATGAGCATAAGAAAAAAAAATTAGCTCCTTGAATGTCAGTTGAACTTTTTCCATTTTAATTTCTGCGCTGTTGGAATTGTATCTTTTACTGTCTGAAAACTGGAGGGTATCATGCTATCAAACATTTTTGTCTACACCTGCCGTTTCAGTTTATACTTGAATCAGTTATCTTGTGGCCTTTCATGGCCAAACAAAAGGTTTTAGTACACTTTGAAAAACTTAAGTTAACTTGACTGAATATGCTTTGCGCCCAGGACTCATACTACTGTACAATGATTTTGTTTTCATAGCAATAAATCTTTTGTTACTTGTTTGATTTTTGGCCATCAGAAAGCCTGTGCAGATTTATGATTGGGTAGCAGGAGACTGGCAAAACTGAAAGTTTTTTACTTCATGTGGAGATATGCTTCACTGTCAAGTGCATATTTAGATTAGACTCTGAATTGTAATGTTGATCTGCTGCTTTTTTTTTTTCTAATAAAACCTAAAGAAAAATAGCTAAATTGGCATGGGTTTTTAAAGCTAATCTAGCCAAAAGCAATACAACTACATTACATTAATCTGCATTTTAACTGAATTGCTTTTTTTGTTAAGAAAAATCTACATAAGCTGAACTTAAAAACAAGATACTGAATACTCAGAATATACATTGAATTTCCTTTTGAAAAGAAAAATGAGATTTACATAATGGAGAGGGTATTTTTATGATAAATATCATTGTTTGGCAACTGTCCTGTAAAGCAAATTAAATCTAGACTCGTGCAAAACACGTGTGGAATTGTATGTGGCTCTTACGGCTTTTTAAGATTTGCCATTCCAAGTTAATTTAGTCAGTGTTATCTTCACTATTTTTGCAGCAGTACACGCAAACTTTTGTAGGCAAGGCAGAGGAACTATCAAGAATTTTTGTGGTATTATGTTGCTGCTTCAGAAAAAAACATCCAAATTTATCTTTCATTGACTTCATCCAGCTCTTACTGGGACAGGTGTGCAAATCTGTCCTGAGGTATAAGTAGATTTACAAATATAATGATATAATACATTTTATTAGAAAGGACTTTAAGTATGCCTGGATGACTCAAAACAAATCTTTCATGGTGGTATACAAAGACATTTTTTTCTAGGATACAGTTAGTGAAATGGATTGGATGTGTGACAATGACTCATTGGTAATCAATGCATCTTCTGTTCCTTAGGCAGTGGTCCCTCTTGACTTTACACTGTTTCTGAAGTGCTCTGTGATCATTTGATACTTCATGTTAGCCTACTGATTTCCAGTCTTCTGCCTTGTTACATGGCATGATGGTCTTTAGTATGTTTTATCCTAGTTTGTTTTAGCAAGCTAACTTTGAGGAGGTAAAAATAAGGTTATATATCAGTTCAGAAAGAACTTCCCAGTCTTTGAATGAATCTCTTTAAAAATGTCAACAGAAAAGAGATTCTAAATTGGAGATGAGTAACCATTAAAAGAGTGCAAATCAGGAAAATAAGAAGAGCAGTGTTAGTCCTATAAATATTTAAAATTTCTTAATGTCTAGTGTTTCAGATCTTACAACTGTACAATCCATCATGGGTTTTATTTTTTTTTCTTATTACTGCTGTGATATTTTTCCTGCTTATACAACTTAATTGTCAAGACTTTGTAATGGGACAGAACCTATAAGCAGGCCTCAGCATTACCATGCATTTGGCTGTATAATTCAACAAGTTATTTTATATGTTGGCGAACTAAACCTATAGTAAAATCATTGTACACCTAATACCCCACATACCAAATTGTAAGCCTTGGAGAGCTTATGGAGAAATCTGATTTCCATTCTCCTCCTTATTATCCTTATTTGCAAAGGTAACCTGCTGATGGAAATCTCTTTCCCAGCTGCATATTGGAGGAAGTAGCAGACTGCAGAGTATCTGCAGTCTCTGGATGTTGAATTCAAAAATCTTCTAGCTCAGCCAGTCTTGTAGTGGGGCTAACAGGTGTTGGTTGACTTGGAGTCAGCTCTGCTTAGTTTGCCGATTTTACCATTGCAAATGCTTGACAGGTTGTACAGGCTGAATTGCTGGACAACGCATAGCTTCCACAAAACTACTCCGTCCATCAAGTACTGTGCTGTTCAAATCATCTGGTATCATTATCTTTAGAGCACAGCCATCAAATAGTTTCTGCACATCTATTTCTAGCTATTCTTACCCCCAGTTATGGTAGCTGTCTTCCAAGTTCCTTGCTAAAAGTGACCTTACATTGTTACATCTGTTGTCTCCTGGTGGTAGTCTTCCACTTAAAAAAGCATTTTTATGTCCAACTTTAAATAGTATCAGTTGACTCTACCCTTTCATATTTGTAGACCTATTTGAATTCATTCTAATCATCTTCCCACATTTAGGTCCTCTGGATTTTTTAAAAGCTCTATGATTTTTAATTTTATTTCTTCTGGGGAAAATAATTTTTCCTTACTGCATAACACATTTGCTAGGCAAATGAGCAGTTTTTAGTAGAATTCCTACTCTGCTTCCCAGAGTTTGTGCCTTCGTCTGCTTCGTTCAAATCAAAGGCAATGGGGGGGAGAGAGAGAAAAAAAAGGCGAGGGGGAATACTGCTGTCATATTTAGTCTTATTTACTGTCAATGGAAGATATAATAATGATAAGTAGAAAGGTCAGGAGTCCCATTTTAGCAGTAAACTCTTCTTGTGCTTCTTCTGTACTGCATTTAGTGTGTTTGGTGAAAATTTTCTATGCAATCTGTAAAAGTACAGTGTTCTATTCTCCATCTCTTCTCATTTGCCCGTGTGTAGACGTTTATTGAGATAAACTAGTGCCTTTTAACTGAGCTGAAGTGTATTACATTTATGGTACAACCTTTGGATAACTACAGTGTGACAGATCTTATGAGGCTGCCTTCAATACTTTAGGTATTGGAAGCTGCAAAATACTTACTTGTGTGAACATAGAACTGTGAATGTTTTTTGTGAACCAAAATTACCTCATTCTATCAGATTGTCTGTGTCAGTATGAAGTTAAGTTGCATTTTAGTAGCTTTATTTTTATGATAGTACTATACAAAAGGGCTTAGCAGTTACTACTTAACGGTATCATTAAATCCATTTAAGTGCATGCAGTAGACCTAAAATGAGATGCATCATGTTAGCAAAAGAGAGAAACTGTTTATAATAAATTAGTTATATAAGTAATCATTTGCAGTTTCACAAAGCAAAATGCCTTTTAGCTGTTCTATCTATTCAAGTGATTTAACAGAGATGACTGACTGTTGTCAGTCATACTTTTGACTGCCATATTTATCCCTGAAAGGTAAGGAAAGGTAAATGCACTTCAGAAGATTGACTAGGAAACAGTTACTCAAAACTTTCCTTCCTTTGAAAGCATGGAGAGGCCATCAGTCTATTAAATGCTAGAAAATATGAATTGTTACAGAATGGATTTTAATAGCTTCAGACACCTTGCGTTTCATTTGAACTTAATTGTAGTAATAGAGATTTGGGGTCAGATAAGAGTATATCAGATTAAAATTATCAGAATTCTGGAGCTATAGACTTCTGTTTGCTTTTTGGCCTGAAAAAGAGAAAACATTTTCAATCATTGTCAAGCTAATAGTTCCCAGATTTCTGTCTGACTCTAAATGCTGTGATGATCAAGAACTATTCAACTGAGCATAGTTGTGATGTTCTTTGAAGATCATTCACGTGGTGTACGCTGCTTTGAATAACAAAACTTTTTTTTTGGTAAAACTTCATTTTAATAAAATTTTTAATGTTGACAACAAAAGTGGCACAATAGCTAGTTGGTAATCTAGAGACTAGAAATTGCCCCATTGAAATTAAGACTGCCTCTCTATGCTGCTCACTTTGCATTTTGAATTTTAGAGAATGCAATTGTAGCATGCTGCTGACATTTTGTGCAGTACCAATCAATCTTTAATGCATTGTGCCATTTTGCCAGGTGATGCGAGTGCATATCAAAACCAAACTCCAAGATGAAAGCAAGCTTCTGCTCCTGATAGTAAGCTTATTATTTGGCATAGCTTTAGATCAGGATTTAGGTAGTAGGTAACCTGCCTCTAAAATAGCCATTATTGGGTAAACTCTGAAGCATCTGGTAAGCGAATACAGATTACCTTTTTTGTTGAGATGGAAATTGTTCTTGAAGCAGGCAAGGTAATGGATTTTCCCTGAGGCATGAGAATTTTTATAGCTTATTTTACCTTCTTTTGCTTCTGTGCATGTTCATATGCTGCATAAAAATGTCTGCTGATTTTAGATTCTCCTTTGTTGCATTACTTTTGTTGAAGTGAAATGTTTCCATACACATATTTTTATTGATTAGTTTTAAATGCATCTTTTTTTTTTCTCCCAGAAAATAAGTGAGCTTGAAAGCTGTCAGTCTTGTTGATGATATTCGTGTTTTCTATTTCTGTGTTCTCCAAGTAGCTCTGAACTTTATAGTTTCACTTCTTGTGGAGTAGTCTCACTTTAACACCCTTATCTTGCTCTAAGTATATGTTTTCATGAAGTGAGCCTCAGTGGCATATTAATCTTCTGAACAGTTTGTTTCTGCAGGCCTATGTTATAAGCTATTTTTTTTATTTTGCATTAATTTGAGCTTATGGATTTTTACTTGTGTGCTAATCACCTAGCTTTGGTTATTTTACAATCTTAAATGGCTTTGACTTTTTGGAAGCACTGTGTATTTTATTTATCTTTCTGAATACTTGAAGATTCGATTACAAGTCTCTGATACATTATCTTTTATCTCTTAGAAGCATAGAGTAGTTCAAGTTGGAATGGATCATGACTTTGCATCATCTGGTCCAAGCCCCCTGACTGAAGCTGGTCTAACTTCAAAGTTAATGATTTTGTCCAGTGCCTTGTTCTCATCATCTTCAGGGATGGAGACATCACCACCTTTTGGGCAACTTTTATGGTGAAATGTGTGTGGGTTTTTTTGTTTGTTTTTCCAAATACTGAAATGAAATTTCCCTTGATACAACTTTGTGTTTCCTCTCATTCTTTTACTATGCCTCTCTGAGAAGAGTCTGGTTTAGTCTTCTCTATAACCATCTATAGAGTAGTGGAAGAGAGCAGTAAAATCCCATTGCAGACCCTTCGATACTGAGTAAACCATCCTTTCCTCACATATTATGTTCTCTGACCCCTAATTATACAGTAGTGGTTTTAGTCTAGCTTGTCTTTGTCTTCTTTTTTATATTGAGGAGCCCAAAACTGGGCACAGTACTTCAGCTGTGTGTTTACAAATATGTAATTGAGGGTCTCTCCACCTGTTTGGCTATATGGTCACTAACATGGTCAAGTTAGTCCTCATCATAGTAAGGGCATCATAAAACTCCTGTTCAGTTTGTCCACTGGCATATTCCAAATCATTCTCTCAAAAGCTTCTTTCTACCCAGACTCTACCATTATAGGAGCTTGTCCATTCCAGATACAGGACTTTTCACAAGCTTGTACTGAACTTCAAAATGTTTCTGTCAGTGTCTGTCCCAAACCCGTCACAATCCCTTTGAGTTACAGACTTGGCCTCCAGCATTTGATTCCTCACATTCCCACAAGTTTGATGTGATCACAGAATCACAGAATGGTTGAGGTTGGACGGGACCTCTATTGATCATCTAGTCCAACCCCCTGCTCAAGCAGGGGCACCCAGAGACATGGCACAGGGTCACATCCAAGCAGGTTTTGAAGATCTTCAGAGAAGGAGATCTTTTGTTGAGGGCATGTTCCACCTTTTTGTCCAGG